CTGATCTCTGTAATGCGGGGGGGGGAGTGTCTCCAGATCCCACCTGCAGGCTGGCAACCCTAAGCCCTCCATTCTGGAAAGCTGCTCCTTGGCCGCGGGGAGCCGCCAGCACTTGTGTGTGCCCAACCCGGCCTTCACCACCTCCATCCCTGTTCCTGCTTTAAGGCCAGGGGTTGGTCCGGCAATCCCGCTTGGGGCCCTGCTTGGGGGCCGGCCAGCAGGACTGGCTCTGGTGGAGCCCTAGAGGGTTGGGGGCGGGGTGGCTGCCAGGTAGGGCCGGCTCGGGCAGGTGGAGGGAGGTGGTGCAGGTAGAGCCCGGGGCGGTGTTGGCGGGCAGAGTGTATTTGCCCTGGGTCCCGCCGGCCAGCGGAAAAAGGTGGCGGGGCGGCGAAGGCAGGTGTGTCAGGAGTCCCCCTTGCCGGCTGGCCAGAGGCACAGGGGCAAGAGGGCCGTCTGCAATTGTGAAGCGAAGCGCCCCCACCGGTGGCCATAGACAGGGCCGGCTCCAGGCTGCTCCCCATGGGCAAGCGGGTCGCCCTCTCAGAAAGGTGGGCGGCAGCCTGCAATTTACTACCCTGTTTAGACGAGGGAGGGGGAGCAGGCCGGGGAGCGCCCCCTCTTAAGGGGCCACTCTAGGCCGCTGCCTAAAAGTTGTCTATGACGGGCAGCCCTGGTTGTGTATATATAGACTGCCTTTCTGCCATAATAGCTTATGAGACATTGTGACCAGATCCAGTAGGAATTTGTTTTGGGAATTTCCATTTCTATCATATCTCTGGTGCAGAATGTGGAAACCTTTTATTAGGCCTTTTACTAATAGCATCACAAGGATGCAAAGAGAATGTGTGTGTTTCACTTGGCTGTATCAGTTGTGCTTTCAGATAAATTATGTAGTTACAGGTTGTAGATCCCATGTTGATAATTAGTTTCAAACTAAGCTAGGAAACGGGAGTATATGGGAAATTTTCTTTTCCTTGAAAATATGTGCTGGCAGTTGCCTATCCCAGTCTTATTCTGCCATACCTGTATACACTCTTTC